GTTGTCGTACAGAATCCTTTTCTCATCACACGTCGCAATACGGTCTAAAAATGGATTGTTCCTGTTGCGCAGAAGCAAGGCGGAGGCGAGCTCGTAGCGGCGGTCTTTCTGGTGCTGAGTCAACTCATGCGGCACCCACTTATCAAGCTTCTTCTACTTCCCGATCTCCTGCATGTAGATGCCAACCGTCCTGCTGGAAACACTCAATCTTGAGGCAATATCCTTCAGCGTTGTACGTGGATTCCCTTCCACTAACGCTCTCAATTGTTCGTTGCCAACGGCCGATGGCTGCCCACGGCGCTCATCATCTTCCAGGCTCTCATCACCGGTACGAAATTTTTCAAACCACCACTGTGCTGTGCGTTGATTCATCGTACCTAGATCTAAGTCATCGTTGATATCCCGGTCCGTTTTCGTCGCACTCCTGCCCAATTTGGATTGGAAAAGAAAAATCATGCGGACCTGTCGTTTGTCCATGCTGATTTCGACCTTCTAAAAAACCCCAGGAATCACTCCAGGGCAAAACCGATTATATATTTGGATAGGGCAAGAAATGCGTTTTAGAACGGTATAAAACTTGCAAAAATCTAGTAGCAAATAACATCGCGGCGAGCATTTGAAAATTGGGCGTCAAAAACCGCAAGAACTTTCTTCACGACCTAATATAAATGAATTTTGAAAACTAAGAGGATTCTTCCGGAAATTGGTTTTACTATTGGTCGATGAAAAATAATGTTGCATTTATTTGTTTTTATTGTTGTCGTTATTTATTTTTATTTTATTTTTTTCATTCTTCACTAGGTAGAAGAGTGATATTTATTATAATGCAACTGACTGCTGAATTTTCAGCTATCACACGGAAATGTCACGATTGCGTGAGTTCATCCGTTTCCATCAGATTCCAAATCCGTTACGGCAGCGGCTTGAGGAATACTTTCAGCATGCCTGGTCATACACCAACGGCATAGACATGAACCTGGTAAGTTCAGTTCGATTTCTATCACCATGAGTTGCATCCATTTGCTAAATGCTCTATAAAGATATGAATGTAATTCGATCAATACGTATAGTTGACATTATTCAGGTGTTGAAAGGTTTCCCGGACTGTTTACAAGCGGATATTTGTCTACATCTAAATCGGAATCTTTTAAATAGTTGTCCTGCATTTGCTGGTTCATCACCTGGATGTTTACGAGCGTTAAGTATGCGGTGAGTTGTGATTTCCTATGTTTACTGACTTTTTTATCAAGTTGCCAGGGTCCTGTTTTTGTGTATGTGGCTCCAAGCGTTAGGGGCCCAGAGTGCTGGCTTGGCACCATCTTGACCCTTATCGTCTGTGGACCTGGGCCGCTCCTTTCCGATGTGGCGCATCCAGTCAAGTATACTTACGTCATTCTTAGTCTTTAGGCGCTCGATTCTCCTCCAAGTGCCCATGCGTCCAGGTACCTCCCATGAATTTTGGCCTCCGTTCTCTGAAATCCATTAATTAAGACCCAAAGAGCTTTCTACTTCGATGATAGACCATTTGGGAAACCAAAAACGCCCAAAATCCCGTATCCATCAGGATTAGTCTCCACCTTTTCCCCTTTATCATTTCATCTTTCTAATCACTACCATTCCGTTCGGAGAAAAGGACTCAAACTTCTTTTCACCACCTGCTGGACCCACTTTAATTTGGAATCAACCCGACTGGCTTAATAGGCATTCACTATAGTAATTTTGAATAGCTGTTTTGTAGAAAAAGCTTTTCTTTTCACAGATTTCGAACAACTCATGCTCCACCTGGTGATACGCTGGTACATCGTGGTGATATACTTACCGGATTGCATTTCATCGCTAGAGGTAGCGTGGAGATCCTAAATGACGACAACACCGTCATGGGTATTCTCGGTGAGTTACGAAAAGGTGTTAATTACGAATTTCTGGGAGCTAAATCGGAAACCTACCACTTTTTTACCTTGCCGAAGTTTGGTTTTGATGGTTTCTCAGCCATTTTTTGGGTACAGTGGTGTTCAGAGAAAGACCCAAGCCTTATATATTCGAATCTGTTCCTTTTCAGAATTATTGTAAATAAATTGGTTTGTATAATTAGTTGATTCCAGGAAAGGACGACATATTCGGCGAGAATCCGCTACTGTACGAAGATGTAGGAAAGTCATCGTGTAATGTCCGAGCATTGACGTACTGTGATTTGCACAAGATTCTCAGGTATCTAATGTTTTTTTGAGTTGTTATAGATTGTTTCTTTCCATTTGATACATAACCAAAACGCTCTTTTCATCCTCAAACGATTCCTTACTTCCCTTGCTAGCGCTGCTGTTATCATAGTGACCGTTTTATAATAGATGACCCTGAACCATTTCCTCCACTTTTAGAGCTCAGAACTTATCTTTTACACTAGTGCTAGGCGACTTTTCTTAGCTTAAATAAAGTTTTGAAGCGTTAGTCAATCCCACAGAGGGATGCGCCAACGCTTTCGACTTCTATTTAGGATCGTAATGGCCTAATGAATGCGTATGTAGCCTTTACAATGATTTGCGATGGCCAGCAGCCGATGCACAATTTGATGGTTTTATCCACTCAGACGACTCCGGCATCAATTAACGACCCCGTAGAGATGGAATGCTTGATTGGCCAGGCGTATATCGTTCCGGGATTTGAACATGTGACCATACGTGTTAGATAGTGCGCCACTTGCTACTACACCACCTCCGCCCTCTTTGGATTGTATATAATGATATAATTACAGTCATGCAATAGTTATACGACCATTACATGTTCATTATACACTTTCTTCTATACATGTATCGAAATTCTGGGTTGTCGATAAGTTAAATGAACTGAGCTCTGAGTTGGAAGCTGAGGAATGCCGTTTTGTCCGCTATATGAAGAAGCTCTTGCAAAATCCTGAACGGAGTTGCAAAATGTGAGAGGTGAAAGAGCGTTCTATCCTATGGGTTCTAAGTACTCTACTATTTTATGTTGCTTTTTGTGTAGCTCTACTTAAAGTAAAGTCTCCCATCCAGTCTTAGAAAACGAAGCAGCAAGCGTAGCCATTCTCATGATAAAGAACGGGGTCTCGGTAGTGTAAGGGATAGAGCACGGTGCCCGGAAGGCAGATGTACGGGTTCGAGTCTCATCCGAGACTGAAGTTTCGTTCATCAATCGCCAACCTTGTGAGATACAGAACAGAATTCGCCCTGTTATATATGATAATCAATAAATGATTAGTAATCGATCATCAGCCGATCAATGAATCGAATGTTCAGGGACGATTTGTTGGACGTGCTCGACATGTATCCAGAATTTGCGGAAAATTTTTGTAAAAATCTCATCATTACCTACAATCTTCGAGATGAATCACAATCAACGCGAAAACGATTTGATCGTCATAAACTTTTGCGGATGTCATCGTCTCTGAACAAAGATCGATACGGTACGCCCGTAGATGGTTCGTCGTGGGCTTGTCTTTCCTATTGCTTTCATCTTTTGTTCATGTTTATGGTGTCCTTCTATTTGTTTGTTTACTTTTGGTAGAAAACTGTCTTTCTTAGTGCTATTGGTCCCATGTGAGTCAACCTTACTCGTACTCATTTCACCAAAATAACTTCTAACTATTTGTATTAACCTTTTTTTGAGGGTTTTAGGTCCTTTTCAACTTCTTTCCTTCCATTCAGCTCTGTTACCTCTAGACTACAGTATGCCTACAGTAATGTGTTACAGACTCAGCTGATCGACAACGGCGTAGTGGCACAGACTCAGTCTCCCGAACCGATTCCAATCCAATGGATCGACGACAATCTGGTGGGTCACGAGGTAATTGTCTAACCCTTCCCAGAATGCATTTAATCTTGAATGAGTGGGTGTGTGCGCTTTCACTAAGTTTTGGCTCCACGTTGGATTCTGAAAGTCGAGCGCCGTTAGTTCAGAAGAAAAAAGGAGTATGAACGACACTCGCCTTTTGGGAATCACTAAGGCAGGCTGAGTTGCACAGCTTTGCAACTTTGAGTTTTGATTTGTTTCAGTCCTAAACCACTAAATAATCTAGATTTCTCAAATAACCCTAAGGCTATAGTTCTCTTAAAGACAACTAATGACACCCCTCTGACTACTGTAACAAGCTTTCTTGGTTTAAAAAGGCCCCTTTCATACCGGTACATCACTATATCCTTCAGGGAGCGTTTTTTCCTTTTCTGCGATTCCGAATTGCAGAGGGCCGGGCACACACCCGAGAATCGCTTTCCTGAATTTCTTCACTATTCTGCTGTTACTGTACCGTTCAGTGGTTACTGTATTGCTAACAAACATGGTAAAGTCATGGCTTTCGCGTTTGGGGCCGGGAAGGTGTGTTACTGATCGGGTGGTATTCTGGAAGGTACAGGAAACGCTGAAGATATTCAGGGGTGTAGTTCAGAACCGCAGGAGATGGTTGAGCGAAGGCGATAACGCGCTCCACTCCACGCGCTTGCTGAAGGACACAGGCATAGGCGTGCGAAGTGCCGCAGCATCGCCAGAAGCCCAGCAAGTGTGTAGGTTTGCTTCGATTCGAAGAAACCCCTGTTTAAAGTCCCTCAATCAAATTTACCCCTAATAATACAGCCCTATCAACTTAAGGTGTGGGCATGTTTGCAGCTTTCAGAACCAACTACTTTTGGCTTGAGTAATCTGATCATGCGGTACCCAACAGTGTAACCCTAAAGCACAGGGTTTCCCACGGGTGGTATGTCCCATGGGATTGTATACGTCCATGGCGATCAAAAAAATTTTCGCCCACCGATTCAACATTTGCGTCCTACACGGTCCATTAAATGCATTACATGGTTCTGGATATGGCTATGTATGTGTGTACGTGTGTTTATGCTTAATCGTGTGATTAACCGACAACTCGTCCATTTCTCACCGCAGGCTCGTCGCGATATTCGCCACCGCATGTTCGCGCCGAAGCGACACCATTATTGCGACGCGCACAGCATGACAACGATGACGACGCTGTCTTCGAGGATATTCGCGCGTTCTCGCGCGGCAACACCGTAACCGTATCGCCTACCGTACATCACGACTCCAATGGAAATGGTGTGTTAAATAAATAGCAGTCACTAAAACCCTTTCCTAATATTAAATCGAGTTATGGTACCTTACCGTAACATCTGAGATGTCACACTAACTTTTGAATCTGTTCCTGGTTTTGCTGCATGAATAAAATCCGCATGTAAATGAGAATTTTTGTTTTGAATGCTCTAGTCGAATTATCCCTGATAACTATAAACGTCCCAAAATGTGCACGAAAAAGCTAAAAAAGGATAGAGACGCAGAGGATTTGTGGCTCTGCGCCTCCTATTTTGGTGTGGCTATTTCGTGTTGGCAGCAATGTCTCTGTTTCTTTGTTTCAGCTTATAGAAACACATTTTAGAAAAGCTGCAAAGCCACCGTTTTTGTTTTCTAGTCAGTATTAAGCACCCTAACAATCTTTCTGATTACCGTGTCATAAAATCGATTATCGATTTTTAGGTGCTGGGCAATTTCGAGGGTATGACGAGCGGGAAACGACGGAGGATCAGAGAATCGTACAACTTACCCGGCGATTGAATACTATTGAGAAGTAAGTGGAATCACCTTTATGCGATCAACAGCCCATGCCATCCATCCGAATTCTTCCCCAATTTCTCATCTAGGGGCCTGTCGACTTGTCGAATCTCAGTAGATGATGTATGTCACGGCGATGTCTTAGGCTTGACTGCATAGCTAGCTCAGATGAGCCCAGAACATGGGGATTTTGACAGTGTAATTTCACAACCATTGAGCTTGACAGTACGACTTCCCAAATTACTGTAGAAGGATCACCTACGGTGCGCATGGCAACTATCATGGAATGCTGCTCAGGGATAAGATTGAGGATTTCATTCAAAATAGGGCCAGGAAAGTTATGTCAAATTAACTATAAATGTACCAAAAATGGAGTAAATTCTGAAGAATACCTCACTATTCTCTAGGTCTTCACATACAATTTTATCATTAATTACAATTTAGTTTTATCATTAATATAATACAGTAAATTTTAGCCAATTGGAGCGGATGCAAAACAAGATGAACACAGATTTTGAATTGCTGATTCGATTGATGAAGGAGCACGGGAAAGCACCCTCGTCCTCTGATGGTAATTCACTATTAATTGTACTCATTGTTTATCGAATTTCGTTTGAAATGTCTGACAAAGTTGAGAGAAAAATTGATTTCAATGGAGTTATCGTGCTGGGATCAAGGCTGTGCCCAGGAAGCGTTCCAGGGCAACCCCTTAGATGTGGACGATGGAAGATTCGGAGTTAAATGGGGTTCTTAAAAAGCAATCAAATCCATTTCAATATTCCAACTTCTTGTAGAGTGGGGCTGCCCATTTGGTTCTTTGTTACTTATGGGGTGAATAATGCGGAGATGTTGGGTTCCCCAGGGTTCCATGGGAAAACTGGTTCTCATGTGGGAATTACCGTAGCTGTATCATAGCATATTGAAACTTTTTTGAACTTCTTTCGTTCTCAAAAGAGAATCTTATGGCTTTTCTAACGTTCTAGCTTTATATGGCCACCATTAACTATTCGTTTTCCAGAATCAGTTGATTCAGTACGTCCGCGACGGGTAGTGTCGATCAGTCCAGGTGAGATTGTTCGGCTGCCAAATGGAGGTGATGAGATGCGCGTAAGTGTTGTTGATTGCAACTTTTGTTTTTGTTTATGTTTTTTTCTCACTGCACATTGTTTCCCTTCTATGTAACTAATCTCCTTTTGGAATGCCCTAAGAGTTGAACGGAGACTTACGTAACTTTCTTGGATTTCAATCTTATTTGTCAATAACCGATAATTTTAATCGATAGTCCGGTAATACCAATTTTCGTCGGTCGACATTAATCATTTTTGCTGCCTTTGATTAGTTTCAATCATGAAGTTTCCATGCTTCCTCGATTGAATTTCATGCTGAACAGGGCTAAACTAGGAATTCAATGTGCCTTCCGCCTAGTTCTCCTCGACTAAAGTAGTGTTTTCGCGATTCTTGACAAACAAGTAAATACAAACAAGTGAACAACATTAGCCTTGAGTGTGTGCTGTATGGCTTTCCCCAACCCCAAAAGAGTGTGTAAAAAGCCGACTTACATACTATATTTCTTGGTACATGCACTTACAGTAATCGCATGATGGTGCGTTACTTTGTCCTGATGTCTGTTTACGCTCTTTCGTGAGTTGTGCCCGAAGAGTATGTCGCCGAGGGAATGTGGTTATAACAGTTTTATGTAACGAGACCGCTACCAATGGTTAGGCGCGTGCACGCGCGCGACCGTGGGAATTCGGGCACAATTTCGATCATTGCTCATATTACAATTCAGTCGACCTTGCTTTTCTCCTAACTGTCCTGTCCACGTTCGCACTAACACTTCTATGGTTTTTAATGCGTTATTGCAGTATTTGAAGGTGTCGCGACTATCGAGTCATGAACCTCCGTCGTTGCCGGCCAGTAGAAGTTCAGACGATGCGGATACATTGTTGTGATGTGAGTTTGATACAGTTTTCAAATAGTTGATAGTCAAATTCGAAAAGCATCGATTGAGGTTCCTAGTAGACGGTAATTCGATTAGTCGAGTTAACCTGGCTTGGCACTTGTTTTTTTTTTAAATTATTGCTTTAGTAAGAAAAATTTCCCATGTATTCCTTCTTATATTTCCTGGGAGAACTAGCCTGCTCATTAAAAAGCTCTGACAAGAGCCTTCCCGGGATCCATCAGGATGAGACGCGCGCGAATGCGATGCGGCTGCGCCACTGACTGGCCATATTTGTCTTCTTAAGGTCTGTCATCTGTAGGTAATACTGCGCATAATTAGTTCTGGGCAAAAATATCTGAGACTATTAATATACGGCGTGAGCAGTGTTTACACTGTTTATCCTTTACAGAATTACCTCGACGATTCGGATCAAAGATGAATTGTTATTGATTGATTGGGTTAGGTTTTTCGGTTTCTTGGAAGTCTTCGCATGTGAAATTTTGTCTCAGCATCCGTCATTATTCCCTCGAGTAGTTCCTTGGAGTGAAGAAGGCTTCTGGCGTTGGTCAATCCTCTTTTGGGATCAGCCCCGCATTCGGCTCAAAATTAGAATGGTAGTGAAGTCTTGAATGCGTAGGTGGCTTATGGCCTTCACAATGGCCTGCTGTGGCCGTTCACTTCATTGCTTCATTCTTCTCATACGAGTACGGTACGGATCCGACTGAACCGACCCCTAAATGGTTGGCCTTGCCGGGTATCCAATCCGGACTCGATCTTGGGACCACGTAAGTGATAGTTGTCACACCGCCTCGATTTTTTTCATATGTAATGATTTTACGAATTAAGGCATATACACCACTCTGTTATTTAACACATGGTAGTCATAATATGTGATTTTCTTTTCAGGACCTGCTCACTTCTCAGCGTTCCTTGCCCAACACAATGTGCCACTTCGACTTATTCCTCGCCACATCTACAGTCTTATCATGTCGAGATCCTTCAAATAGAGATTATCCTTTTTAATAATCTAACAATCATCGTAGTGCCATGGAAAAACAAAAACGTCGTAACCTTTTGATCGCCACCAACATTCGTTCAGTGATCATCGCGCTTAACGACACAAGGGTTTATACTGCCCCCGAATGGTATCTTTCGTCAGTCACGTTTGGCCTTCCATATCGTCATTATTAACATCGTATATATATACTTATGTACCATATATATTAATGTAGAACATACATCTTTGCGAGAACTTTGTGCGCCCCAACGCAGACCCTTGCTCCATGGCGAATTCTGCCAAAACTCATCGAAGAAAAAGATCAGTGAGGAAGTTCACTAAGGGTGTTCTCACATAGACAGTTATTCTTACATTGTTTTTCTCCGCTTAAGTGATTCGTTCGTTTCGTTCAATTGAGTCTAACTGCGCTTATTCGCCATAATTGTGTGGCTATACTTTCTCGGCGCGACTCCACAACGAGCGAATCGATCGATCAATCAATCCATACCTGTCTGATCTCCCGCCTATTTCGAATGTTTCAATTGTTTAGGTGTTTCATTCTTCATTTTTCATACCGATGTCTCCATCAGTTCCGATTACGGGACGATTACTAAATTGACAAAATGTTCGGTGTCTCTCTGCAGAAGTGTTTTTACTAAATTGACAAAATGTTCGGTGTCTCTCTGCAGAAGTGTTTTTTTTTTTTTGAAAACAGATTTTTATCTATATATAGATGTGTATGTGTATCATAGATATATCATATGATACACATACATACCACACGGATGCGCGGCATATCGTCTCAGGAAAGATTGTCTTGTTTGCTTCAAATATGTCCTCCTCCTCAATCTCGTCATTCTCATTTTCCC